CGTCGTGCCGAGCGGCACCGCTAGGGGGCGACGCAGGCTCGGCTGGAGAGCGAGGCGGGAGGCGCGGGGAGAGCGGCGCGAGCTCGGAGCCGAGACCCCGGGCTGGGAGGGGGTGGGGTGCGTGCCGTCGCCATGGCAACACCTCCTCAAGTCCTCCGGGAAGCCGGCCAGCGAGGCCGGGGGGCCTAACCCCTCCCGCGCGGCCCCGGCCCCAGCCCTCAGCGACAGGTACGGAAAGAGAGGGCGCGGGGCCGACAGCTCGCCCGCCCGGGCGGGGACGCCCCCTGCGGCGCGCCGTATGCAAATGATGCTATTTGCATATGCAAATATGCTAATACACCGGCCCCGGTCAGGGTAGCAGGTGGCGGGGAGCGGGAAGGTGTGGGGAAGGAAGCTGAAGGAGACAAGGAGTTTGGGGACTCGGGAGCGGACCAGTGAGAGGCAGCCTGGGGTGGTCGCTGGAGCGGGGCCCACCGAGGGTCTTAGGCTTGATAGCGGATGGGGGAGGGTCAGCCTGGCCAGTCAGGAGATCCTCTTCTGCCCGCTGTCTGCCAGGCCTGAGGTTGGCACCGCCTAGCAAGGTTGGCAGCGGGAGCCCGGGCACCATCTGCTGCTGGTGAGGGGAGGGCAGAGGCTCAGCTGGGCTGGGGAAGAGGAGGGCCCAGGACGGTCGAGTCCCCCTTCTTTCCAGCAGGCCGAGGTGTGGTGGGGGCAGGTGAGCCCACAGACTCCCCTACAGTTTCCTGTTCTCTGTGCCCTTGACAGTCCAGACGCTTGGGGTGGCGGCGGGGTGGTAGGAAAAACAGCCCCTTTGTAACGATGTTTGGGCTAAAATAGGAGCAGATCACAGGCCCCCCCTTCACAGCCACACAAATCAAACCCCCTGCCCCTACCCTTCCTTGGGATCACCCGGCAGGAAGGGCAGCTGCGATTGCTGCTCTATTCAAGAGGCCTGAGCGACTCAAAAAAAAAGAGCCCCCCCCCAGATCCTTCCAAGGGCCCCCCACAATGCTGAAGCAAAACCAATTTACTGGCTCATTGGGCGGTGATGCTGGAGTGGGGGTGCTGAGAAGCAGAGAGAGCGGCTGTTCTCTCCCCTACACTCGGGGGGCACCCCCCTCCCCCGCCTAGCGGAGCCGGCAGCTGTCCCTAATTAGAGCGGCGGTTTAATTGGATTTATCAGCAGTTAATAGGAAATTAAGCAAAGGGCCCGAGAGGGGGGGTAAGCACCGAGGCAGACTGTGTGAGCTCTAAGGACGGGTGCTGACTGCAAGGGTGGGGGTGCACGGAACCCACGGCCACACGTGCCCCTCCAGACTCCCCTGCGGTTGAGCCGTGGCCGGCTGAGCCAGAGAGCAGGTCTCGAGAGAGGAAGAGGGGAGGGACCGGCAGGCAGGCCCCAGGGCCCTCAGCTCCCAGAAGCAGCAGCCTGGGTGATGGATGGTGCTGCCTCGTGCTACAAAGGTCACAAGTCTGGGCCAAGGAGCAGACTGAATGGAAAACAAGGCCAGAGCAGGGGTGGGCTTCCAGGGTCCAGGGCAAACGGCTCTCCACCCCACCCCCCCCACTGTCTACTCCACTCAGTACAGAAAGTGTCCCTGAGGCGGAAGACTGGGCAGCAGCAGAGGGGGCATCCAGAATGACCCTCTCACTGCCAACTCACAGCTGCGTGGGGCCTTGGGGGTCTCCCATGCAGTAGCCATTCACCTCCGGTGGCTCCCCCTCCTCCCCCTAGCTGGAAGCTCTGAGCTGGCCATGGCCAGTGACCCAAGATTGGCACCAGCCATCTTTGGTGCCAAAGAAGGGCGCACGCTCAGTCAACCCGGGAGACAGGGTCCACACCCAGCCCTGGCATCAATCAGCCTGCATTATGTGGCAAGGCTAACAGCACCTGCAGGGGCACCTCACGCCCCTCCCGCCCTTGTTCCTGCCTATGTGGGTGCAAACCCCTGCATTGTGTGGGTCTCTCTGTGCCCCTGGTGATCTTAGGTGTCTCTGCCCCTAGGGCGTGTGTGTGTCCATGCAAGTATGTGGTAGTCGCAGGTGCGGGCGTGCCCGTGCCCAGGTGTGAGCCACGTCTGTGGGTGACCCAGGCGGGTGGGCCGGGAGGTGCCCGGTAAGGGTGTCCCTGCGTGCATCTGTCCCCACTCTCCCTCCACCATTATCTCTGCCTAAGCCTGTGCTGTCTAAGTGTGCCTAGGTGCCTTGGCGTCGCTAAGTGTGTTCTCGCCTGGCGCCTGGCATTTCGGCGCGGGCATTTCCGCGAGTCCCTGCCTGCTGGTCTGTGTCTAGGTGAGAACCAGGAAGCGCCTCCGGTGAGAGTGTGTGGCTCTGGCGCCTGCGTGTGCAGGTGTGTGTCTCAGTGACAGTGCGTGGGCGTGTGCCTGGGTGTGAGCCGCGCCGCGGCGTGTATTCCAGTGACAGTGACGCGCGCGTGCGCGCCCCCCGCCGCCGTGGTCTCCCACCCCGCCCCTGCCTTTCCCCATTTCTATTCCGCGCTCCTCTCCGGGCGGGCTTGGCCGCATCATCTCCATCCATTATTGAAGAAACAGCCGTGTCCCCTCCAATCACATCAACACCCTCCCCCCGCCCCGTTCCGCTTGCCCCGCGGCCCCTGTGGGTGCTGAGGCGGGGGAGCCGCGGCGCAGCTGGGGCTCCGGGCGGGAGCGGGCTGGTGACCCTGTGCCCGAGCCGGCCGGCGCCGGGACGCCTGGGTCCCCCGCGAGCGCGCTTTGCATAAACAGATGGCGCGGGCGTCTTTGTCTCCTCGCTCGCCACGCTGCTCCCGGCTCTCGGCGGCCGGGCTGATGCAATCAGAGGTCCCAGAGCCGCGGGACCCGCGCCCTCGGTGGCGGCAGAGGGGGTCAGAGGCCCCGGGGCTCGGAGCAGATGTCGGGCACTGTGGCTTCCCTCCCGGGCGCCCCCTCCCGCCCACGGCTGCAGTGGGAAGACGAAGGCCAGGCCAGAGCGACGGGCGTGCGGAGGTGACCAGCAAAGGGAGCCCGGGCAGTGCCCCGAGGTGGCCCCAGGCTGCCCCGCTGGCCTGCCAGCCCTCCCGGGGACTGCAGGCCCGAGCACAAGAGCAGAGCTGGGGGCGGGGAGGGAGCGACGGCGACGCACGAGCATTTGCAGAAAGATGCACGGTGCGGGGCAATGTGGCGGGAGAGACAGCGCAGAACCGCACAGAGCCAGATGCAGAGACAAAGCCGGGGAGAGCTCAGGGGTGGACAGGCAGCCCCTGCCACGGTGTAAGGAGCGGGGGCGCCGGGAGGCGGGAGACGGACGTGCACAGCCAGGCGGCGGCAGAGCGGGCGAGACAGGCCGGAGAGCCCCAGAGCCAGGCCGCAGGAGGAGGCCGAGTGCAGGCCAGCGCGAACCTGGGCGCCGCCCGCGGCTGG